GTGTTTTAGCGGAGAAATCTAAATTGGACGAGCAAGAGAAGCAAAGAAAGTTGAGTGAGGTTCGTTTTCAAGAGATGTTTACGATTTTGTTGAAAGAAGCGCAGTTACCCCTAAATTTCATTCTAGGTTTCCGAGAAAATGGAGGTGTTGAGCGTACACCCTACGTTAGACCCGCCAATCAGAGAACGTATTCATCTTGGAGGTGTGGAGCAAGAAAATGCTGAAGATGCCAATGTTCTTCGTGGGTAGTCCGATTTATCCATGGCTAAACGCAGGCGAAACTCAAGAGTGAAATGTGCAGAGTTTTTTCGATTACATTGTTGAAGCGATTCCGGTGTTTTGCAGAATTATTTATGCGTGTTTCGTTCATTCGCTTATGTCTTGTTGAATTATTGATTACGTTGATGTTGTTACAATGTTGAACTGTTGAAATAAAGATTCCAGCTAACCTCTCGCATTGAATTCAGCGTTGAAACGATTGATACAGTTAGTGGAAACGGTTAAGTGGTACCCCTTGAATGGTGCTTTCTTTTCAGATAATTTTTTTTAATTTACTAGCATCTGAGAAGCTGGAGATATATGGGTGACAAGACATTTCATAAGGTGCGTTTTTTTTTGTTTTTCGAGGACGACGTGAACTTACAAATTTCTTTTGCTTCACATTGTTCGCGTCGAGTATACTGGAGTTTTACGTCTTGTTTTATGCAAGTACCTTAGTTGAACTGCCAGCTTTCAGTGCTCAAGAAGGTCACAGTATGACCTCAAGAAACGGTAGAATTTGTGTGATAAAAGAAACTGGAGAGGGTACTCTGATTTTGACACGTTATTTTTTGGGTTTTCGATTACGTTTCACTTTTCTCAGAACTTTGACATGAAACTAACGAACTTTGACACACACTTTGACAGTGCATTCTAAGGGAAACTGTACGTTCACCTCCTCAGATCCTGGTCCTTACCAAGGGTTTGATGTGATGTGTCCGCAGCTGTAAAAGCGAGTCACTTTAA